ATCATAATATTCTAATAATCAATAACTTCTAAAGCTTATGCATACACAACACCTAATGACTAACTTAAATCCTAGTACCTTTCTATTCTATGCTAATTCTACCTACACTATAGAAACTCTTGATTATAGCTCAAACCAGTTCCTAAAGAATGTGGCTCAGTCCAAAGATCATGCCAGGCTGTTTCTAGGAACAATTGATTACAATCTCTTAACAAAATGGCTATTCTAAAATCCTATATATCTATCTTAACGTCTATAAAAGTTTCTAATTCCTAATCCTAATATATAAAGCTGATCATCAGCAATAAATCTTCTAAAAATAAAATCCAAATATAAACTGTAAATTGTACTAAGGCCAAAACCGCTATAGTAGAAAATGGGAACAATGAAATTTCTAAAGTTAGCTATATTCTTATTAAACCTCAAAATATCATGTTTGATCATGCTTGATCTATACCATCAAAAGCTGAAAAGAGCTCTCCATATGTATATACTAATTCTACAAATATACTTTTTAAATCTTATAATGAAACTTGTGTCGTACCAAAGGCTCCCAAATGTGACCTGAGTTTGAACTATGTTAAGTTTAAAGTCAAAACCGCAGTCTGTGAGAAACGAGAAAAATGGTCTCCCAAAGTTAGCCATGCCTGTTGTACATTCAGAGCTTCATGCTTAGATCATCAAGATTCCTTCTGATGAGATGTGCCAAATAGCAAAAAAGGGAAGAAGAAATGGGCCAACAGCTCCTGAACACATCCTAGTGGTCTCAGGGTCCACAGCCCACCTCGTTCCCTAACGTTCAGGTAGGCCTCCATGGCCGGCTCCCAACAATACATGATGAAATATTATGCAGCCATAAAGAAGGACAAACATATGGACTTTGCAGGAACTTGGATGGATTTAGAGTCTATAATGCTCAGTGATCTATCACAAAAACAAACAACTGAGTACCACGTGTTCTCTCTCATAAGTGGACACTGAACATTTACCATAATACAGTATGAAAGGGATTGGCAATAGCGAGACACTGCCAGAGGAGTGAGGGGGACACATAACATCAATAATGGTAGCTGATCTCAAAACAGGCAAAGTGGGGACCAAAGGGAGGCCCAAACTTTACCTGTACAGTGATCATTTGTATACCTAATCCTGAATTGTACCCCACATCTTTAGAATTAAAAATAAAATAATAAAATAAAATAATATTGAATAATAAAATAAAGAACAACTGATCAACACAGGGGTATAAAGACCAATACCCTCACCTCAACTAGAAGCAACTATGTGAAAGCAATGCAGAGCTCATATGCAATCCCCTGAAGCCTTTATTGTAACTTCTCCCTCTGCCCAATTCGAATT